CTTCTTCTAGTTCATGCGCAACGAGGATGATCACGGGCTTCTCGAATGCCTTACTGTACATAGTAGCTTAGTCATCCAAACTCCATTAAGTACAAAGTTATCCAAGATTAGAAAGTTCAACAGAATTCTGAGGAGAAGTAGTTGCACAAAATGAAGCTTGTATTCAGTTCAGTGAACATCAACAGTCTTGATTACATGGTCAATATTGTGCTTGGCATGACATAAGAAATCTAACAAACAAGACACTTCCAGTGAACATACGTCTCAAATACTTCTGGTTCAATGTAGTCACATATGTGCTTAAAATGCTGATATGGTGGCTGTAAGATTTTGTGTAATCTGCTGATTCAAGACACTGTTAGTCAGTGGACAGAACTTTCAACTTAGATACATAACGGACATCACCTAATGGAACAAATGCTTAAAACTGCACACTTTATCAATTGTTTTTCGATTGACTCAGGTTCACTAACAGGGCACTCAGATCGCACCTTATAACAGGATATTCACTGGAACTTCGATCATGGTCAATACACAAATGTTATTGACAAATCAATACCAGTATACCATTATTTACAATGAAATCTCATTAAGGATGAAGAGGCATTAATAGACAGGTGAAAAGAATGTTGAAATAGGTCACATTGGTGATGAAAGAAGTCAAAACACACGATAGCATCAAATCGCACACACAAATCGCACAAATAACTGTCAGTCAGCAAAAATCAATCAGAGTCAAAATCGTCAGTACGAACATCAATGCAGTTCTACTGTACGCAGTAGCCCAAGTTGGGTCTACTTTTTCGTTTTCTGTATGTCCTCTGATGCGACAGGAATGTGGCAATACACTTAACTAGATCAATCTTGGAAACGATAATGGCACCTTCCATAGTGCTTGTAAAGTCCTGAATGTGCAGTTTGGGATATCCATCGATTATTTCCTGTTAACTAAGTGCGTGATATTTTCCACACGACCGTATTTCTTCATTCTTCTTCTAGTTCATGCGCAACGAGGATGATCACGGGCTTCTCGAATGCCTTACTGTACATAGTAGCTTAGTCATCCAAACTCCATTAAGTACAAAGTTATCCAAGATTAGAAAGTTCAACAGAATTCTGAGGAGAAGTAGTTGCACAAAATGAAGCTTGTATTCAGTTCAGTGAACATCAACAGTCTTGATTACATGGTCAATATTGTGCTTGGCATGACATAAGAAATCTAACAAACAAGACACTTCCAGTGAACATACGTCTCAAATACTTCTGGTTCAATGTAGTCACATATGTGCTTAAAATGCTGATATGGTGGCTGTAAGATTTTGTGTAATCTGCTGATTCAAGACACTGTTAGTCAGTGGACAGAACTTTCAACTTAGATACATAACGGACATCACCTAATGGAACAAATGCTTAAAACTGCACACTTTATCAATTGTTTTTCGATTGACTCAGGTTCACTAACAGGGCACTCAGATCGCACCTTATAACAGGATATTCACTGGAACTTCGATCATGGTCAATACACAAATGTTATTGACAAATCAATACCAGTATACCATTATTTACAATGAAATCTCATTAAGGATGAAGAGGCATTAATAGACAGGTGAAAAGAATGTTGAAATAGGTCACATTGGTGATGAAAGAAGTCAAAACACACGATAGCATCAAATCGCACACACAAATCGCACAAATAACTGTCAGTCAGCAAAAATCAATCAGAGTCAAAATCGTCAGTACGAACATCAATGCAGTTCTACTGTACGCAGTAGCCCAAGTTGGGTCTACTTTTTCGTTTTCTGTATGTCCTCTGATGCGACAGGAATGTGGCAATACACTTAACTAGATCAATCTTGGAAACGATAATGGCACCTTCCATAGTGCTTGTAAAGTCGTGAATGTGCAGTTTGGGATATCCATCGATTATTTCCTGTTAACTAAGTGCGTGATATTTTCCACACGACCGTATTTCTTCATTCTTCTTCTAGTTCATGCGCAACGAGGATGATCACGGGCTTCTCGAATGCCTTACTGTACATAGTAGCTTAGTCATCCAAACTCCATTAAGTACAAAGTTATCCAAGATTAGAAAGTTCAACAGAATTCTGAGGAGAAGTAGTTGCACAAAATGAAGCTTGTATTCAGTTCAGTGAACATCAACAGTCTTGATTACATGGTCAATATTGTGCTTGGCATGACATAAGAAATCTAACAAACAAGACACTTCCAGTGAACATACGTCTCAAATACTTCTGGTTCAATGTAGTCACATATGTGCTTAAAATGCTGATATGGTGGCTGTAAGATTTTGTGTAATCTGCTGATTCAAGACACTGTTAGTCAGTGGACAGAACTTTCAACTTAGATACATAACGGACATCACCTAATGGAACAAATGCTTAAAACTGCACACTTTATCAATTGTTTTTCGATTGACTCAGGTTCACTAACAGGGCACTCAGATCGCACCTTATAACAGGATATTCACTGGAACTTCGATCATGGTCAATACACAAATGTTATTGACAAATCAATACCAGTATACCATTATTTACAATGAAATCTCATTAAGGATGAAGAGGCATTAATAGACAGGTGAAAAGAATGTTGAAATAGGTCACATTGGTGATGAAAGAAGTCAAAACACACGATAGCATCAAATCGCACACAGATGTCAATACTGATGGCATTCTCGAAAAATTTACAAACATCAGTTAATTTTGCGTCGTAGTCTGTCAGTTTGACGATCATGAGCCTGATAACTTTTTCTCTTCACTCATGAAATTGATCAGTTTAATGACGTTCAGGCATTTCTCATAAGCAGAACATTCCAACTACACATCTGATAGTATAGTTGTCGATTGAGTAACAGAAATAATTGTACTGTTCAATCAGATGGATAATGTTTCGAATAATGCAGTCCAAAATCTAGTGTCCAGATGCGATTTTGTAAGTTGGCTATCAGATCACATTCACAAGGTTGCCGTAGAATCAGATGAAGTTACAGCTGATAGAAAATCGCAGAAGAAACAATTTCCATTTAAACATTTATTTGCTATTGTACGACATTGTTAGTCAGTTTTTTTAAATAATTCACGTGTACCGCTCAAGTACATCTATGTTGGTTATTATCAACTACTGCAATTAACATCAAATTTGTGAGGAGGTAATGATTGCAGTTTACCATAATCTGTTATTATATGAAATAGGCTGGCTATTGACGGAATCGATCGGAATTTCACACTTCATTCTATCCGTGGAAAGTAAAGTTATGAAGAATTAGCGCTTATATTGTAGTGGCTTAGCTTCATCATTCGATCAACTTTGTAACTTTTGCCACACTAACGTCGAATGTTTGAAATCAGAACGCTATAAGTAGCGTCGACTAAAGCTTGTCAGCGAATAGCACAGAAAACAAGTTATAAGCACATCAAGCAAATGTGAAGCAGAGAGACGAGCTTGCGTGTGTGGGTGTGTGAGCGAGCAAGTACAAACGGAAATTTATGGTGAGATCCAATAAGACGCAACTAGGCAAAGTAAAAACTAATAATCAGATTCGTGTACATTTACGCATGAGGAAGAGAATGAATTGTACAGTGATGTTTAGAATGTCAACATTTTAGCTAGTGTCTATTATGTGTTCAAATGTACATTATATTACAGATATGAAGACGGTCAAAATAGTGCAAAGAAATATGCAATTTGTTAATGTCCGAATGACACTGTCTGTTAAGTGAGTTAAAAAAGGGCTTAACAAACTTAACCTGAAATTTACTTAGTATTTTTTGTTTGGATCTTCCCATTGATGTTTTTAGGACTGCAACTGGTCAGTCTCTAATTGGAATATGTGCATACTGTGCGTATTGCCATCTCTGCTTATCAAAACTTAACCTGGTTTATCTTGTACACAGATTCTTAATATACTACGTAAAACATGGGCAGCGGAAAACCAGAACCTCACAAGTCGCAAATAACAAGACAGAAGACAGGTGAAAGGAATGCTGTTCCAAACAGTGCCATCTAGGGTACAAAACCACCAGATAATTAAAAATGTTAATAAAAGCAAAACCATCATCATAGTCCTCCAATCCGTATACAGGGGCTTATAAGCATTTGTCCAGTAGGAAACCTACACGTAGAGATTCTGGAATATTTCACCCGAAGGTGTTCGCATGGAATATCTTTGGCCCTTTCTGAGCTAGTCAGAGCCTCCTATAGTTAACCATTCCGTCGTCCTCACAAAACCATAAACGAAATTGATTGTGCGACAATTGCTATAATATCATTGATATGTTGAATTCTACGAGTCGAACCATCACTAACTGAAATATTGGTATCTTGAGATTACTTTGATTCGAGTGCTTTGGTACAGAAACTCTGACTATCCTTTACGTATTTGTGGTACTCTTCTAGTGCATGAAACTTCAATTTCTAAATTTGTTTGTTCGTTGTGTGCTAATCAACATGAAATTGATTTGTAGTAAAGTGAATTCAGTGTTTCCTTCCAACTTCGTTAATACGTGTCATTAAAAATCGAATTGAATAAGTTCCAATTGAGTGTCATCGCAAAGAATGAAGTGACTGGCGCATCTCACTGGTTTAGTTTGAATGAAAGTTCAGTAAATGGTAGAGTGAGAGTGTATTGTCACGCATTATCAACACTTTGAGTGGATTTGAACCGAGTGAACCTGATGTTCATCCTCATACATTTACATGAAAGCAACAACGCCCCCTGAAGATGTAAGGTTGTTGTGGCTGATTGTTCATAACTACAAGTTGGTTATTCGATTAATTAATTCCAACTATACATACTTATTAAAACACGAACAATCAACTACTCAGAAATAACAATGATATGATAGAAGAATATTTACATTTTGTAACACATATCTTTATCTGAATATTATTTAAAAAACCAACAAATCAAATGGAGAAAAAGTCTTCTGCGGACCACCAATTACTGAAAGATTATTGTCCTGAAATTATCCATCTGCACGACTTTAATCATCATCATCATCGTCATCATCATCATCGTCATCATCATCATCATCATCATCATCTTCGTCATCATGATCATCGTCATCATCATCATCGTCATCATCATCATCGTCATCATCATCATCATCATCATCATCTTCGTCATCATGATCATCGTCATCATCATCATCGTCATCATCATCATCATCATCATCGTCATCATCATCACCATCGTCACCGTTTCCTGTTCCTGGATCTGGAGGGCACGATAACAAAGAAATGGATATTCAGCTATGTATCAGTAACTACTAGCATACTTGTATGGCAACATGATATGAAGACTTTTACTTACTCCCGGTATCAGCACCTGACTCAACGAACTGAATCATTGTAAGGTGTACTACAAACAGCATGATCAGCATCTTGATATATCTCATTTTCAAACTGATCGCTCTCACGTAAGATGAAGCAATCGGTGACACTCTTCTCCTACTACAATCAAATATCAAGTTACCACAACGTCGTTTATATACTCACACTGTCTAGATGACACTTATCAGCACAGACAATAACACGCTGACACAAACGTTCGTGGTTGGTCATAACCTATTTATTTATTGTACACAATAGGTACCCACGGTCACAATTCTTTAGCAGATTGGTAGCTTGTATGTTACACACACTTCGATAACGACGAATGGCACAATTTCAATAGAGTGACTGTATGATTGATCAAGTCCTCACCTGCATAGATCTGGTGCAAACGAACACATGCACGTCCCACACAGACATCATAGGCTCTCTACATATATAGACTGAATCACCTTATTTCCCTACCTTGTAGTTGTATTAGATACTTTCCCCTCCCTAATTATTTTCAATTGAAGTAGACAGGCAACTCACTGGACCTATCAATACTCGGTCGCTAAACGACGCCTATAAATACCCTAAAACATCAGAAGAAAAGCACAATCGACTGCCTACTGCCAGTTGTCGAACAACCACAGAACCTGTCACCCATCAACCGGTTAGCAACAAAACAAACTCAGCGCGAATTTAGTGAGTTACTTCTTGTCTATTTATCAGCTTTTTACTCATCTGTACACTATGTTGCCTTGCCATTAATATTATTCCACCACCCGTTATCTAACCTTATCTGTAACTAATATTAATCTCCACTTTTCCGCCTACTATGGTAAGCAAATATCCTACACTATACCCTTCCTAATGCCTATACTCTGATTCGTAACCTACACTTTACTATATGGTCAAGAAAAACATTGCATCGAAGCCTTACCCACAGTCCATAATTTGTAACTGTCTGATAAGCTTGTAACATGGTACTTATAGAAATAGTGTCTTCCAACAGGATGTGAAACACAGAGAATTGTGTGAGATATTATATGTATCCAAAAAATAAGCGTAAATGAGCCTAACATCACAAAAGGAGGGAGGGTAGAGTTACTGACCAGCAAGCACTGATGGTGAGGGCGATGATTTCAATCCACCCGTGTTTGTGGGGCAGAACATTTTGTCTGTATCAGGCTCTTTATGGATGAAAACAAGTCAATCAATCTGTGATATTGAGATTGTTCTTCTACACTCACCATTCAGACTCATGTTTCTAATTTTTGTGCTGGATTAACTATTCTACTAAGACAACCTTCAACATGCTAACCCGAACTTTTACATGAACACTGTGTGGCAGGCATCGTATGATGATAAAAAAACAGACTGTAAAGGATACGTATGCTATTTTACTCAACACACTACTCTCCATATGCACTCTCTGTTCTTCCTCATTTTAACCTTGAATTCCCTCCTTCATTGGAACCTACCGCACCTTGATAAATATCACGACTCATTGTTCTTTATTACTGCATTCTCTCCTCTGGAGCCCCTAATCACATTTCACTCTTGCAACATGAGCTAGTATCAATTTAATCTAATAATTTTTCATACCTCCATCTGTTTCACTAATAAATGTTAAGCATTGGTTATCGTTCATATTCAAATGCCTTGCTGCTCCTCGGTTTCATATTTTCTCTTCTCTTCAGAATCTTGCTCTGAGGGTGAAGCTATGTAACTACTGACATCTGGAACAAGCTCGACAAACGCGTTTTCCCAAGTTCATAGTTCGAACCAGGCGCTTCACAAGCCTACTTTATAACAACTATAAACTTAAAAAGCTGCATTACATAAACACTTAGCACGACCGAAACCCTAATACACTTTTTGTCGAGATTGGATTTGGTATGTAACGTGGACGCCATGCCCCTTTGGAAACTTATCTTATGAAAACACATTATATCTGAACGAATGAACTGCTGTCAACTTTTATAGATTATAATTACTAAACAACCTTGCTTGGGATGCATACTGTGAACCAGTATATGTTGTAAATTGTAGATCATGCCTGTAAAAATGGCGTGCATCTGCTATTGCAGAAATATATTATTATCATTATTATTATTGTGTAAATCCATCTTATGTTGATCGATCACTCCAGCCTAATTGATTTGTGTTATCAGGTGATGTTGATTAGGAAGAATGAACATTGGTGATGGGAATAGGCATTGGACGAGAAACGTCAGACTGTTATATTACTAAAATTGGAGATTTATGTGAAGAACATGTTACAGTTGAATGGATGTGATTTGTTACATTACTGATCGTGATAAATATAGTAATATTCTTTACTGTTCTCCATTATTCTTTCCAGGTCTTTTGAGAAAACACTTCCCTGTAGTGTAGAGAGTGCTGAAGGTAGTTAGCCAAGGGGTTAAGTCATTATTAATACGGTTCTGGATAGAGATCTAAAGTCTTGCAAACTCCAGGCTGGTGGCAACTTATCAGATATCATTCATCACCTTCACTCAAACGTTACACTCTCAAATATCGGTGGTTGTCGGTTAATTGATTCTGCACTATTAGAAACCGTTGATATGTGCAGCTTATCAAAGTGTTTTCATGTCAAAGCAAGGCATGAGAATATACTTCAGTTAGTATTCTGAAGAAATACCACTTCACTATGAATATAAATGTGCACATTTTGAAGAAGTGGGCATAGAATCGTAGGTGGTGCACTCTCTATCTATTCCTTTTAGAAACATCTCAAACAGAACGTCAGTTGATACACAGAGTATAAACATGCTGGCTGTTGCCTTTCCGTTTGCCTGATATATACAAATTACATAAACCGAAATGAAGATGAATGTTTGTAGTGGATTGCTGTTTGATTACTACAAACTGGTCGATCTGTGAATCATTTTCTATTATGCATAGGCACCGCGTCTTTCAGTATTGTCTGAATAAAAACAATTGTGAAGAGAGAGGAATGTTTGCGCTTTCCGATGGTCAGATTTATCTGCTTAACATTCGAAGTAATAATGTCATCACTATAATGAAATCTGAGACAACAACTTCAGGTTACCGATGATTGTATCAATAATATCTCGAGTTCATTTCTCAATATTCGCATTGTAGATTGATTCATGCTAAATGTGTTTTTGTTCGTGGATGCTGAAGTAAAATTTGCTTATCATTAGATTCACTAGTTGACTTTCCGTTTACCCGACTGTGCAGTACACTGAATGAGTTGTATTGTTTAGTTTTGATGTATTTGTAAGTTGGAGAAGGAGGAGGAGTAGGGAATGAATCGGTAGTTTTTCAAGTAAGAGTCTGCTGATGATGGTTGTGAGATGATTGCAAATACATTCATCACTTCAGACTTGAATAATAAATATTGCAGCGATGAATATAATGACAAATGTTACTAATTCCACTCTTACTAATAGTAGTACTGCTAATAGTACTACTTCCATGTGAGATAGAATGGAAGGAGTAACGACTTATGAAACAAGGACCCCGTACACTGAGTCCCACACTTTTTAATGTTCACAGCATACACCCTGACAAGCCTATTACGAATCTTTCCCCACGAATTCGTTCTGAAGTGCGCAATTTTTTCGAAATTCGAAGTGGATGTGTGAATAATCAACATGCTTCCATTAAACATTCAATTTTCATTCGATTAATATACATACATTCACTACATTCTCTTTTGATGCGAAATCCATTATTTCAATTCTCAAGGTCAATGTATATGAAAAGATTATGCATATACATTCTATGAGTAATAGTTACGGAATTCACGCCGATTTACATGCATCATCAGCTTTATATAAATAGTAACATTAAATGTGGAGAACAAACATGTGATATAAGATAGTTTCAAGTTCATCAGTTCAGTATTATGTTTAGGTAGTACATTTATGACATATATTACAGCAATGCGATGCATCACTAGGGATATCTAGAAGATATCTACAAGTTGAGAAAGTGAAATGGAAACAGAGTGTACGGAACAACAAAACAATGCCCATATATCCAACCCTAGGATTAGTAAGGTAAAGCATGTTATCGTGAAGTATGATTTTGTTTGGTAGAGTGATTGCAATATTTTTGGTTTAAGGTCTGAAACCAGACGGTTTTGTGTGCACTTGCATCTTACATGATATAAACCTATTAATATCAACAGTTTTTCCACATGTTTTCAAATTTGAACCACGTATTTGGTTACGGGCTTCTAATGATACACTGAAATATGTCAGATTAATGTCTCTGTAAGATATACATCGGTCACCTGAGGAAAGAGGCACGTTTGCGAGTTAGTGAACGTAGAGAAAACAATGAGTTTTAAAATTAATTTTGATGAAATGAAAGTGGTTCATAATCTATCGAGTGGAACTCTCAATTAACATAAAATGATTCTAATTGGAATAATTTTCAATTTAATTAGTACAGAAATTCACCTCACATTCTAAAAAAAACTCCACGACTTTAAAAACTCTACCCGAACAACTACCAAGAAAACGATTTCATCTAACGCATCGAAAGACACTGATTCTAAATTGTATTACCATTATTATTATTATTAAGAAAATTCCACAACAATTAACAAATAACTGTATCCAAACAAAAAATAACAATCCACTAAGTGTTTCAGCTAATGAGAATGTTTCTTCCACTGGAGAACACATTTTGAAAGCAACTCAGTTTATCATTTAAAAAAGGTACTAACATGGATGAACTTGGTTTATTTGCGAATTTTCTATCGAAAGTGATTTCATCTGATTCTACCGTAACGTTGTAAATGTGGTCTGATATCCAACTTACAAAATCGCATCTGAACACTAAATTTTGGACTGCATTATTCGAAACATTATCCATCTGATTGTCACTGTCAACATATTTGCAGGTTTTGGAGGGCAATGGAATGTGACACGATCGATTGTCTACAAATCTGATGTATCGGTGATATGCACAACTAGTCACAGTTTTACTGTATGTCTTCAATCTCCAACCACCTTGAGAAGAATACTAACAC